CCAACCTTTCCATCCCTCCGGGGTCGGCGCATTGGTATCAGACTCGTCTGGGAGGGTAAAAGCACTGACTTGTTTATCGGCTGGCCACCGCAAGTCATTGTATAGGCCACATACGCACTCACTACGCCACTACGATTCTGTATGGATGTGGGCGCCCCTTAGACGGGATTGATTAACGCCAAAAACTTTATCCTTCATAGGCAAAAATTGCTATGTTGAATTCATTAGAATACAAAAATCACCTTTTCAGTTTCTCCATGGGATACTGGCACGTACAGTATGTGACAGGAATGGGTAGATTTTTGCATGTCCTCTCCACATCGGTTTGCGATCGCAAAAATGATGTACCGTACTCTCCAGGGATTTTCATGTACTGGCGATCCGTGAAGTTGACGGCCGGTTGATACTGAAATGAGAAACGAGTGAGCTCGATGAAGCTGAAGAGCGAAAAACCATATGCTCAAGGTGTTTCCCATGGGTGGGGGTACTTTTCCCCATTTCACACCGCAAGTGGGTGTGGTTCTGCGGCGGCTACTATATCCTTCCTCCGGAAATTCAAACCTCAACCTTCATAATGTGCGTCTGCGCGTGATTGGATGCGGCAAGCGCGACGCGACTTTCGGGGAAAGGGTACTACACCCATTTCCCGCTCACAGCATTTAGGGGCACAAAGTCGTGATGACAGTCAACCGAAGAAGGGCAGTCGAAGGAATAATCAGTGGAGTTCGACGAGTTCACTAACGACACTAATGACCATGGCGGTTGATGGCTTTGGATCTCAGCTTTGATCATTCAGTCTTACTTTGAGAATGTCCAGAAGAGTGGCACGAATGTCGTAGGGTGTCTGTAAGCGAGCAGCATTCTCCTTCAGAATACTGAGGACATCAGTACTTTCTCGGAGTTCCTTTGGTATTGACATCGAAAACATCGGATTGTTCACGTCGAGACTGCCTAGTTTAGTACGAGTCACCTAAAATCAGGGTCATTTCCAATTATGAATTTATGTAGTACTTGTAAATTGTTGCATTTGAACGAGAACTTAGTTTAAATTACAAGGATTCACCGATGGGCACATTACGTGAATATCGCGCGAGCGGCCCCGCGCGCAGGCTATGCACCAGAACTATTAAAGGACTTTGATCAATGAATTACACTTCATGACACTGATAGCACGCTCCAAATCCAACCTACTACACAGACCCGCCCATCTGCCCAATACCAAGGACATTAGATTACCCATCATCGTTCTGCAGCTGTGGACATTCTTGGAATATGGTAGGAGCATGCGTACGCAAAAGCATGATAGACACAACTAAAAGTACAACTCGGTAGTGCTAACTCGGCTACACCTCACAAAAGAAAACAAGTAAATAAGTAAACAGACTGATGTATCCCAAATATAAAGCTATGCCGATCGCAACGGCAGTATTATGCATATGCCTGCTTTGTTGCAGCTTAATCGCAAAAAGAATTCGGGCACTTCAACATCTCATGAGGAAAAGGGAAAGCTCGTCCACCTGTGTGAGACGAGTTTTCTAATAGCGCAACGGCCTCAGATCTTGAGGTGGCTCCATCAAAGACATGGGACGGCGCATTTTTGCGTCCGGAAATTTTCGCGGCAAATCGCTTAGCAGCTAATACCCACATAATTTCTTTATATCGATGAAATCAATGGGCTTATAAGCAGCTTTAGATCGGGGTTTCGCCGCTGGTTTGTGTCCATGCTTTAGGTCTTGATGACAAACGTCAAAGTCGTCCAAATCGCCACGAATTTAGCCGCGCAATTAGCCTCATGCATCCCCGGAAGATCACGTAACCCATTTAGGACCATCTGGGAAGAAGTCCCCATAATAGTACTCATACTCACGAATAGATGGATTCAAAATATGGTTATTATTTCAATAGCATTATGGGCTAACAACCAGAGGAAGAAAATAATCATAAAAGGATAACTAGGAGATAGATAGGTGTTGAAACGGTGAAAATCTGATAAACCTTGCCGCCACGAAGCCCGTGATCTCCCATGAAGATTACGAACGAATCTTCGAGCTGATAAACCTTGCCGCCACGAAGCCCGTGATCTCCCATGAAGATTACGAACGAATCTTCGAGCTGAAAATAAAATTTCTAATACATTTTTGAAAAATATTAGAATGTTAGTGAACAACAACATTGTGAACTTCTCTAGGACCCACAGTATGTCCCCATTGAAACACTGCCCGGGATCACTTTTCTCTTTTCTTTATTCATTTCTCTTTTTTTTCAGCATTTACGAAGTAGTTAGGCGCAAACATAGAACTTAGGCGAATTCCAGTAGTGTCCTGTACTGTACACCAGGTACGGTACTCAGGCTACGGTAGTGGGGCAACAAGACTAACTGTAGCTCCTCTGGGTAATTAAGAATGAAATTCAGTCTGAAAACTAGTCTGATAGGAGTGGGAATCATCAAAATTATTTCTAGAATACAATGTGGAGGCGGGACAAAAAGTTCAGGAAGGAAGACAAGCCTTTCATATTTTGTAACCACGCGTAAAATCTCACCTTTTTCTTGTTATCAAGTAGGAAACGTTGGAAATCAGCATCCGCATGAATCACACCACTTTCGTGATCATGGCCAAGTAGAGAAAGCCAAATCCAACCAAATTTTGGATGATCTGTAAGTAGGCTTAGTCATTTGAAACCATGCAGTTGTGGATCAAAGGGTTAGCCAATGGACTTGGACGATGAAGGAATAATTCCCGATCGACCATTTTCAAAGTGAAAATGGTGTGGATTCCAGTGCCAGAGTCTTAAAAAAGGATTGAACCAAACTACCCTAAATGAACCTTCTTCTCCTTGGAGGTCAACTATCCAGAGCAGAGAAGGATTTATCAGAGATTTTGTAACCCAGAGCTAATTACCGGTCCCTTCAGGTATGGTAAGGGAGTATGTCAGGAGGCCACAGTGTTCCCTTGAAGGCAAATCGCAATTAAACGAGTGAATCAATGCAAATAGGCTAATCCAAGTCGATGTTGTTGCTAGTCGTTGGATTGCTTTGTTCCGGGTGTGGGTACTTCTCCCCGAAAATGGCGTCGCGTGCGTCAGAGCTGATCGCGCGAGTCGCGCGCCATGAAAGACAGGGTCTTGAATCGAAAGGTACAGTAGCGGAACCACTACCACTTGCCGTGGGAATTCGGGGAGAAGTACCATCATCCGCTCTGATTTACATACCGCACCCTTGTAAGAATTCATGAACTCCTGTAGGTANACAAGTAGGCTTATTCATTTGAAACCATGCAGTTGTGGATCAAAGGGTTAGCCAATGGACTTGGACGATGAAGGAATAATTCCCGATCGACCATTTTCAAAGTGAAAATGGTGTGGATTCCAGTGCCAGAGTCTTAAAAAAGGATTGAACCAAACTACCCTAAATGAACCTTCTTCTCCTTGGAGGTCAACTATCCAGAGCAGAGAAGGATTTATCAGAGATTTTGTAACCCAGAGCTAATTACCGGTCCCTTCAGGTATGGTAAGGGAGTATGTCAAAAGGCAAAAGTGTTCTCTTTAATGCAATTGAACGAGTGGATCAATGCGAATAGGCTAATCCAAGTCGATGTTGTTGCTAGTCGTTGGATTGCTTTGTTCCGGGTGTGGGTACTTCTCCCCGAAAATGGCGTCGCGTGCGTCAGAGCTGATCGCGCGATGTCGCGCGCTATGAAAGACAGGGTCTTGAATCGAAAGGTACAGTAGCGGAGCGGAACCACTACCACTTGCCGTGGGATTTCGGGAAGAAGTACCATCACCCGTTTTGATTTACATACCGCACCCTTGTAAGAATTCATGAACTCCTGTAGGTATCGAAGAATGTCTTGATGCTGCTCAATGCAGTTTTCTGGACTGTACGTTTTCTTGAGCAGTTTGCTTGCGTCTCTCTCGAGTGCTACTTGAAATGGCCTGAAAGAGACGAATCCGTCCCGCATGTATTCTTCTCCATACCAAAATTTAAGAAAATACTAACTAAAGACCTCATGTAATGATCGGTCGGTTGCTTTTTGAATCCCAGACAGCCTGGCCAATTCAGCGTTCCTTTCATCCAGTCCTCGGCGAGAAGGGTCTGAAAAGCCATTTGAGTATGAGAGCTATAAAGGATTAAGTATTAAGGGCAAAGTCTTTTGGCACCGATCCCTTCCCCGTCGTGGGATGTGCCCGACATTCAACTTCAACACAGAATCAGTGACGGTTGAATGCGTAATGTGGCATTTGCAATGAGTTAGGATACCAACCAGTATACGAGTTGGTGCTTCATTTTTTCAACTATCTAACGAGTTCGTCACCAAATCGGCGTCACCTCCTAGGGGTGAAGGGCTTCTTTGGCGTGGTTGGTATCAATCAGGGCTTCGATGGCCGGACCACGTAGATGGTAGTGGACTTTTTTAGAGCAAATATGAGCTGCACCTTGGGTGCTAATTTTGACGTTTGAAAAGCTAATCCAAGACGGAAGGAACTGAAACTCGTCCAGAAAAAATTCGGTCCAGAAAAAATTCAAAAAAATCTAGAACCTGACCAACACGTTTTCCCCTCCCCTCCCCCCTCCTTTCCTCATAGTCTCCAACACCGCATCCCTCTCGTAAGTCAGTCCATAAAGTAAACAGGCATGTAAACAGGCATGGTAGGGTTAAGAGAAACATACTTTGTATCCTTTATTTGCGTAGTCCTTGAACAATGACGTCTCATTGTCCATGTATCTCTGACAAAAACTTTCAAATGTCCAATCGGGTTCCAAACTGGGAAGACCAAAAAGCGATCGATCGACTTGCTCCATACTTTTGCCTAAAATCTGACTTCCTCGTATAAATCCAAGATCCGAGGTAACCCAGATCGAAGCTATTATATTTATATCAGTTTTAATAATGTCAGGGTAACGAACCAAACCAAAGAGCCACGCCATTTGGACGACTGTTGAGTCCAACTTTGTTCACATATGGAAAAGTGACCGCATCCATGGATTTCTCCAAGAATTGAAATGTACGTGGGAGGTTCCTGAATTGCTTGCATCATTTATTCAGTTACTTTAATCTTCAAAACTTGGAAAGTTCGCCTGAATGGCTCACTTTGGACTTGTCAAACCGTATTTATCTAAATAGTTCATTCATTGCTAGTGTTCACTTCTAAAAATGTGAAAAGGTTCATATGACTGCCATTCGGCTTCTGAAGCAATCGCTGCCACTAGCTTGGAGAGTATCAAAAACCATTTTCTTTAGGAAGGGGACGCATTCTTCTTCTCCGACCATGGAAAGGGCCATTCCACAGTCAACCATCCTGCTGATTTTACTTACCGTGAATCCTGCCCAGCTAAAGGAGTGAAAAAACAAAGTTCCAGAAAGGCCAATGCATTGGAATGAGTTCTCAACCTATCCAAGGCTTGCTCTGCTACCAGAAATCAGCAAAACTCTCTAAAGACAGAGATCTCGTAGAGACATTCAATTAATGGGTCGAACGTTGGGTATTGATATCATTTCAGGCCATTGTTATATGCCAAAGATCGTCTGGGAGGAGATGGCGCAGGGGCGCAAGGCGCACTGTCAAAACACACGGACCAGAAATGGAATCCCCGACCCATACCCGCCGAGGCCAAGCAAGCCTTCCATTCCTCCGGCGTCCGATATTTAGGGTCACACCGGTCTGGTAGGATGATAGTACCAAATTGTACACCGGCCGGCCACGCAAGTTGTTGTATAGGCCTCCGAAACGCCACGTCGATTCTGTAGGGAAGTCGAATGCGGGGCGCACCCAGAACAGTATTGATTGACACTCAAGGACTTCAAAGACTCCAACCTTGTTGCCTGTGATGCAGCTGTTGAATCAAGCAGTATGACATAGACGTCATATAAGTTGGAGTCAACACTGATTTCTTCTTTATTCTCCCTAAAACGTCAATCCTTATCATACTGTATGCTGATAGCCCTATTAAATAAGCGAAATAGCTGAGTATAGCAAATAAATAAGTATAATTTGAGCAAATTATATGAGCCAGAAAGAGTAAGCAGTTGAAAAGTCAAAGTCAGTCCCAAAGGAACTCACGTTTCAATGATCTGGGCGTGAACCATTTGATAGATGTCATTTCCATCTGGATCTTGGCATGATGACTCTACAATATCACAACGAAAATCTGCATCCTCAATGTTCACCCACCGTCCACGTTTGTTTCTCAGCTCTGATTTCCTTACGAGGCATCTGAAATGTGTAGTTTCGACATAAGTCTTTAACCACTATTGCGGTGCCTTCGATTATGGTGAAACACGATTCGTAGGACACGCCTTGCATTTAGTTTCCATACGGAATTCTTCCATGAGAGCGGAGGTGGTGTAGTGGCAAGTGGCGCACTATCTCACACGCACGGTCAGGGGTTCGAATATTGGATCTATATCCGCCCAGGCTAACCAAGCCTTCCTCTGGGTTGGTATTGGTACTAGACTCATCTGGGAGGATGAGAGCACTGACTTGTACATCGGCTGGTCACCGCAATTCATTGTATAGGCCGCATACGCACTCATTACGCCACTACGATTCTGAATGGGAGTCAAATGCGTGCGCGCATCCCTCAGAACGGGATTAATCAACGATAGGAACTCATTTATCCTTTAATTATCGTTAACCCGAGAGGAAGACTTCTGCCTAACTTGGAAAGAGCTCGTCTTGAATGGAGGTTCTCGGATACAGCAGTGAAGGGTTGCTCAAATGATGAAGCGTCCGTATAGGTTGTTGAGAACTTCCCCATCTGCTCATAATAGCTGTGCCCTTCTTCCCATCCCAATTCGGTCGCGTTCCAAAAAGCTGTTACGATTTTGAATGGGATTCGAATGAATGGCGTATCCAGAAAAAGATATGATTGATGTTCGCCATTGTTATGCTCTGCTTGTTAATTTTTTCATAACCCTTCTAATTTATAGGCATTGCGTCTTGTTTAAATATCGCCCTTCTAGCATTGAAGAGCTTCCGAGTTCAGTCCATTGTAGCCTGATATCTTTGCAACGTCATAGGCATCGCAAAACGTCAATATAAACAGGAATTCGGAATAGAACAACTCAAAAACTAAACTAATTTTTCAATTGAGCTCACCGGTATGATGTCCCTGTCCCATGGATCGTAATTCGGTAAAATGCATCCGTCAAGAGGATTGCTTATTCTGTTGGTGACGGCTTCTTCACCGGCTGTAATTTCCAGATTTCACGCTGATCTGTGGCTATGCCGAAAAAGTTTAGGTTTACTTGAAATGAAATTCCTCCGTGAACCTTCAAATCAGAAAGTGGGCAGCCCCCGTATGCCGATTTCCACAGGATCTTGGGTTTTTGTTATACGATTGCACCAAGAGGGTAGAATAAGCTCAAAATGTGAAAAGGGTCCTTTTATACAGCTCGAGCACTTGCTTGTAAGCCCCGAATTCTCACCAGCAACGGTTTCTTTCCGGACTCAGTGGATATGGACAGCAGTACTCCAGGGGTTGAGATCCAATGACATGAAATCGCCTTAATGCGAGACTCGAACCTACGCCTATGCTTTTTGGATATAATGTTTGTCCCCACTCTAGCAACACTCCGCGCTATGCTCCCAGTGTCCCATTAGTAGTAGGTTATCTACAGTCCACACACCTCATATCAGCCGGTCGGCTCATTTCTTTACCTTTTGGAAGCGATTGCTTCTCTGGGAGAGGGAGGGAGGGAAGAGAAGTTCAGTAGCGAAATGGCTAAGCACGATGTTCAGAAAGCATCAGTGCGGGTTCATGTTCAGCATCAGTCCCATGTGAAGTCTGGACGGTTCCCTTCGAAAGCCTTCAAAACATCTTAAGGTAGCAGTCGTGCTCGAAATTACCTCACTGACAAGTAATGGGGGCAAAATGCATCGAAATTATTTGTATCTCATAAATAGCCTAATAAGAATTAGTATATCTTACACCTAAAATCCCCCTTTCCTCTCTCATGCCTATTAACCAAATCGATAACTATCCAGGTAATTGAACAACACCTGTTGATTGAACGTCAACCATTTCTGTAGATGTCTCGGCTGGGGAGAGGCTATTTGTATAGTCGTCGAAAATCGTAAAAGCCCAAAGAGACATGGCTGCAACGCCACCAACAATAACAAACAGTCGTGGCCATGACATATCTGTAATGAATCACATTTTTGCATAGCCATAGAGGGACATGAAAGGGAACACGCGAACGAAAAGGGTTGTCGGACGATTTGTAGATGAGAAGATACTATACTGCCACGGAATGGCTTCTCCTCTAGCCACAGGCAGGCCCTCCCTTGGGAATGCTAATCGCTAGGCATGCTTGACATGCTTAGCGGTTCATTCCGCAAGACTACACCCTTCACACTAAAGCCGAATCAATCACACATCCAAAAACCGAACCTAATGGCTCATTTTCAGCAATGGTTTCAGAATAGCCCCCAGTCATCTAGGCTCGCCATGAGCGGACAAAACAGCGTATAAACTGGCGGTTTATATAGACCTGCGTATGTCAATGAAAATTTCGTACGTGCTTTTCTTGACTTATTCTAAGTCAAGGAAGGTAGTGGTGGGGTACCAAGCGATGCGGTACCACCAACATTCCTTTGGAATCCATGTGTCCAATCTCTGAAAGGGTTTGTAACCAATACGTTCCCGGAAGTAGGCTACTGCTGAACGACTAATTTGTATTCAATGTCACCCGCTTCAAATACGTCGGAAAAACTCGATTCCGGCATTACTTCTGCAATTCGATACGATCTTCACACCCACAGCATCCTACTTATCTGGCGCATCATCTCATCAAATTACTCCTTACATAATTAATTACAGTTTTTTTTGAATTTCTACCTCTCTTGCCAGGATTCTAATAGTTATGGGTGGCCAAGTACGCAGGAACGATGAAAATTGCCAAAGTAATCGTAAGGACCCAAATAAATGTAAAGAGGGTGATAGCGAAAGGAAGATCGAGTCGTAACGGAGGCGAGCGACATCAACACATATGAGCGATTGAAGGCGACACCGAGCGACAGTGGACGACTGCGAGTGCCGACGAGCTCGTAAGAGTCTCCGAATCGCCACGGCCAAGAATGCAAAATCAGTAAGTAGTATTGTCAAATTTATATCCCAGTCATCCTAGAAATTCGCCATGTGAGCATCTCCTGAGAAGAAGGCGACAGTACAGTGCTCACGACTAGCATGCTACGTTCTGGGACACGACACGCCCATTAATAACGCTTGTGCATTGTCATCAGGGATAAAGCTCACTGAGAGCTTGGATCTTTGCCTGTCGTCTAGGCCTGAACCGAGTGGGAGCTTACAGATCTCGAAAGCAGAAATAGGATGACCTCCTACTTCGAATGGTAATCGACAGAAACATAAGGAACGGGCTCTTAAAACTATTAAACAAAAACATAAAAAAAGGCGGAAATAAAAGATTCCCCTACTCTGAAAGGTAATCGACAGAAACGTAAGGTACGGGCTCGAAAAAGTGTTAAGCTCCGTCCGGCTTGCCTTTGTCCGCACATAAGTGGACGGGCGCTGGGATTTTCACGTTTCACTTTTTACAAATAATAAATAATGATTTACGTCTCGGGTGCCAGAACTTGAACGGCTAGCGTTAGCCGATCCTTTGAGTTGTGGCATTTGTTCGAGATCGAACCGGTTCCACGAGACCAATGGAAGACGTGGTGGAAAAGAAAAGTTGACAGATATGACCAATAAATTGAAATGGTCAGCATGTTCTGAGTGAATCAAAGAATGCCCTTAACGTTCGACGGAATTCATAGTTTTTAGCGAGAGATGGCCATAAAAACTATTGAAAGTGTCGGAGATTGATATAAGCGATTGTTATGGTAACCATGCGGATTAAAAACCAAAAACATGAGGCAAGATAAGCAACAAAAGAAGTAGTAAGTGAGTTTTACTAGTAAATACACTGCAGTAGTCTTACATATGATCCACAGAGAGTAGTCTCGCCAAAGCGTTAGAGCTCGTATACAAAGCTCGATAAAAAGAGATAGTGACCCGGAGTGTGAGAGGCATCTCCCTGATGTCCGCTACCCACTGTCATTCCCTGAAAATCACAGACGATGCCGAAAATTGTATCCTCTCATCAATCTCGGAAGAACAAAATGAATCATGATAGCACAATGACTTGACTAACATAAGTTGAAGAACTTTTGGAATTCCATCTCTGAACTTTGTGTAATTCAAAGAACAAGCCAGGGTTTCTCCAACATAGGCCTTCTTGAAGAGGAATGCACCACGCATTTGACTCACATGGAAAGCTTGGTTGGCTTAGGCGCATACCGACCTGGGATTTGAACCCGAGACCATGCCTGTGTGATAGTGCGCCACTTGTCACTATACCACCTCCGCCCTTCGAATAGCTCATGAGAAGAAAATAAGAAAAATTTCTGAGTTCAACCAAACAAAGAGGGATCTATCCTCAAGACTCAACAATGATCATTCAGGTTTTTTTGTTCCAATAACAACCGCTGCATGAACTATTTGAACACGAGGGCGTCACAGATGGCAGCTCTTAAGCAACTTTAGCGTTCCTCTAACGCGACAGCTCTCGTAGGACAGCATCCTGACCTAAAGACACACTTGATGCTACCTAATACTGGTGCCCTGGAACCCAATAATAGATGGCGAAAACGATTCAATCAGGTCGTCCATTAAGCCATTAGAGGTTCTTATCAAGAAAAAGTATTCCTACTGCCAGGAATGTTAAACGCAGCAGTTGTAAAAAGTAGTTGTAAAATAAAATCTTATAGAATCTATAGTCAAGGGGGAAAAGTTAAGTCGACCAACTAATTCCGGTTGTATTTTTAAAAAGAAAAAAGGACTCGGACTAAGTGAAACCGTGTCGTGAGAGCCATCTATAATATTGTTAGTTTGCCGAGTAGCAAATGACTCTGATAACTAATCGCTAGGAATATGTAGCCTTTGTAATATGATCACCCCGTCGGAATCAATCCTGTGATCGCATCGAAACCATGGAATTGTTTGGAAAATGTGCTACTGTGTATCTAAACAGTTGATTCACAGTTGCAATAACAAGTATCAATCAGGACCAATAGTTTTTGAGACTGTTGAGAAACTTCTAGAAAGATCAGGTTCCGGTAGAAACCCAATGGTGAAAAGCGCAACGGTGATCTCACGCGATAATCAGTCATACAAGCGGAGCTCGTCGTCCTGTTGATGGTGAGTTCGTTTTTATGTTTCCATTGTTAAAACCAGACCTACTGACATATGCATGCCACCCATATTAATCAGTCTTGAAATATGAACCCAAGGCTATCCGTTGGCCAGGGTGATACGTATAAAAAGGATAAAATCCTGGAGCATTAATCAATCCCATCTGAGGGATGCGACCACGCATTCGGCTTCCATTAGAATCATAGTAGCGTATTGATGCCTATGTGGCCTATACAATGGCTTACAGTTGTACAAGTCAGTGATTCTATCCTCCCAGACCGATGGAAGGCTTGGTTGGCCCAGGCGGATATCGATCCGGGGTTCTAACCTGTGATCGCTTGCGGCTGTGTCACCCCCTCCCGCCATTAAGAAGGCGAGGACAAGCGGGATTCCGGTGGTGCAAAGGATAAAGTGCAAGGCGCCCAAATAGCACAACCACGTGTTCGAGCCCCGTCCGAGGCCGAAGTTTTGTCTATACTTGCCAATCTTGTGAGACTTAGTAACACTCTATCGTATTTGTCCCGAGCGGAAGGCTATTATGAGGGATGGTTTATTCGGTCGCTTCGAACAAAGATGTAAATATTTTCGCAGATCTGAATGGCAATTCTTTGTTTTCGTATTATTTTATCCCAGAACGTCGGGACAGGCCAGTCACAGGAACTAGTTACTAACAGAGTTCAAGGAAACCGAACCTGAAACCAGAACCAGGTTCAGAGCGATCTCGTAAAAACTTTGACAGTATGTAAGTCCTACATAGTTAGGATTTTTGACAAACGACAAAACTTCCTCATATCTTTGAATTCCCTGCCAAAATTCCCCGACAAAGGGGAAAATCATGGGTTACAAAGTTAAATCCAAAAAAATGTATCAAAATATGAGACTCCCATTGAGAGTGGGGATTCCTTGACTATCATATATGATACTTTGAAATTTCAATGCAATAGTCACTGAACATCCTCAAGAGGGTGTGAGAGCTGTATGAAATATAAATACATTGTGAAGTTTTGTCGAACTTAAAAAAAACAAGCAGATTTTATAGAAAAGCTGGGATCACGGTCTCTTTGGTCAGACACGGTATTGAGATATGGACGCTCTAAAAATAGGGATTGACAAAGTAAAGGTTGGAACTGGCAAGGCGAAGAAGAAGTCAGCTAGAATCACGGATTTGCTGGTGAGATCAGTAGAATATCGTTGATTCTAAGAATTGGCCTCGTTTTCTTTCAACTGTTGGGCTGGCGACATGTTTTTCACGGAACTATTCTTGGATAACATGCATAAATTAGCCCTCGAATACGCTACTAGTTGATAGATGTATGTCTTTTCCATGTTATCCATGAATAATTCACAATACCCAATGTATCAATAATGTCCTGCAGTAGAAACGTGAAAGTACGTCACATTGGAAAAAAGGGCACAACGGACTCAGTCCCTTCTGCTCCCTTCGGCCTCTCAGCACGCCCTACCAACAACCAGCAGAGAGAGGAAGAGGAGCCCTGCTCGGAAGGAAGGCCCATTCAGCAAACGGACGAAGGTTTTATCAAAAATGAAGAAACTTTGCCGCAGCTGACAATACAAAACGGATGGACATCGCGAAATGGGAGTTCCTATTCCAACGAAAAAGTCATCAATAAGCAGGGTACAACTTTCTCGAACGGGAGAAGAAGATCTGAATCGGAAGGACATGAAATTTTAATATTTTGTCTTGAATGAGCCAACAGTCCAAACATAGGTCACATGTTGTTGTATATGAGCCTTAATCACCAATCTTAATGGAATTCCTTCCTACAGCAATTTTTTGTAAGGATAGTAGCTTTCCCAATCAGATTCTGTGAGAAATTTACGAACTGGAACAAGATTTCGGAAATTCTCCACTGAAAAACAGAGGCTACCCTCGATTATCATCGGTTACCATTACATTCCGTCTCCCGGCTAGTTACATCATAGCC